CGACTGGCAGGCATTTTTTTTTTTTTTTTATGCGGTATTCTTGGATGTGCTCTGTCAGTTTTCATTCAAATTTGGCACATACATGTACTTTATATACATGTTAAAATGCATGTCCATGACAATTTGTTTCAAAATCTGGTCAAGGATGGCCGATTGACAGCCATCTGACTTGTTGGCCTTACTTATATTTCCACAATTTACGTACCATTTTCATTCGTATTTGGCACATACATCATACATATCAGTGTGTTTCATAATCAGATCAAAATGGCTGAATAATGGCGTTTTTATTTTTGGCCATATTACTATATCTCTGTCACCCATGTATCATTTTCATTGATATTTAGCATGTCATAAATGGATACATGTACATGTCAATTCAATTTGCAATTTGATCAAATATGGCCAACTGGCAGCCATCTTGTTTGTTTAAAATATGATAACTTGAACATGCTTTCACTTGTGATCTATGTTTTTCTTTGCTATGTCTTTAACTTGAGGGGTCGTCACGCAACACATGTTCGAATTTGATGTAAATAAACAATCTGTTGTATATGCCACTTGGGACTCAAGTTTCAAGGACACACTCACGACAACCCCTCCACTTTAATATGACGAGCACGAAGAGAACTTTCAAAAATTTAATGGGGACTGTGTCATTTTCAATGACTTGTTCATTTTAGATACTATCAAGTACCGTAAAATCTGCATTAGAAGCCCCATCCCTAATAGAAGTCGCACTAATTCTTTTTAAATAACTGAGAACCCAAAATTCATCATTTCTCATATGTGTAGATGCTCCAATAGAAGCCGCATCCCCTCTGTTTCATTGTACCATTTTAATAGAAGCCGCGGCTTCTAATACAGATTACACAGTACTGCTTTGTGCTTTAATCAAAAATGATTGTAATTTAACTGTTCAAGGGTGTGATTTCATGATAGTCAAACTTACTCCCTGACTTTAAAAATTTTAAAATCCTGTTTTTTGCAGGTGTACTGTGTGACATTGAGATAGATGAATGTCTGAGTAACCCGTGTCAGAATGGCGGTACTTGTCACGATTTGATTGGTGCTTTTGTTTGTTCCTGTGTGACTGGATTTGAAGGTAAAATTTATATTACCAATGTTTCCTACTAGAAGGGGAACCCTTTAACCTTATTGTGGTGTCTACCTTATACCTTTGCATACATGTATTTGTAAGTACCGATATAATAACAAATTTATGCAGATTGTATGCAAATTACCTACAATAGCAATTATATTCCATCACATGTGCAGATGATATGCACTTTGCCTCTCGCTGGCAAGACAATGTGTTAGTCACCGTAACACAAGCTTTTCTACGTCTATAATTAGTATTTAGTTTAGCACTGCTAACTGATGCAAAGCATATACC